ATTTTTCACCCAAAAATGGATAATTGTTGTTTGCAGTTTCAAAATCTTCTTAATACTCACTTGATTATTATTTGTTATAATCAGATTTAAAATCTGTACTCGTTAATATTTCATCTGGATTTAGCTTGAATTAGAAGATTCAAAAATTGGAGATTCTAATATTCCATAGTTTTCGATACTTCTACTGCTATTAATTTTGGATTAGGTTTCAAAATTTTTAACTGTTGATATATTTCTACAGCATTTAGTTTGGATTAGTAGGTTTAGAAAATAGCAGATTTTAATATTTTTACTGGATTTAGTTGTATATAGTGAATATTTACATAAATGTATACAACATCTTTTCTTGTATATGAAAAATGATTCTCATTCTTTTAATACACCAATGCCTACTCAACTATTTTAATGTAATTTATTCATTCATTTAATTTAGCACATACATTTTAAACTCTCGAAGAGTCCCGCAATCATTATGTTATCAGAATCGTTAAAGAATTTTTGAAAAATAAAGAAAAACGAATCTCCCTCCTTATATATATTTATATAAAGTCGATATTATCTCATTCGTTAAAGAAACTAATGTAATCAGCATAAACGCTTTATTGATACAAATTTCCACGATATGACAAACTTTATACATATATCGTTTTTCTGAGGATTTCAAATTGAGATCATCAAAACGTTTCATATTTCAATTTTGAATCCTCAGAAAAAGTGCGTGTATTTAAAAATAATAAATACGATATTTAAATTAAATACAAAAATAACAATTAGAAAAATTGAAAGGAAATAAAACTTCAAGAATTAACGAAGATATAATATAATCGAAGACTTGTTGAACATTTTGATTTATCATTTATCCGATCATTATCGCGTAATAAACGGAAATGAGATAGTTATCAACAGATTGGAAACTTTGGTCATTTAAATGCACATTTCATTTATATGCAAAACAAAAAAAAAGGTACAAAACTGCTACAATTTAGCAGCAAATCTCGATATATGATTTAAAAAAAAAAAATTGTTTGCAAATATCATTTAACGATTGTATTAATTTATTTCTCAATCTTGATTAGTGAGTGAATATTGAATATTATAATATAAATATATATTTCTATATGTATATATGATTTGTATGAATGTATGTATATATCTATGTATAAAGTTTATATAAATGAGATATTATTGACATTTTATATCAATACATCATAATGATTATGATCTTATTGACACAGAAAAAAAATCACATATTCGTCCTTCGTAAGCAAAAATAATCATGTCCTTGGACGTCTCTAACTATTGCCATTCAACCGTGAACTGACACGAAGAAGCAATGTAAGTCGACATTTACACTCGACATGTGAATATATTTTTCTTAAATATGTGCCGGGTGCATATGGTATATAGCATTAAAAACTGCAAGTAAATCCAGTGCGATGGGCCGTTACTTTCAAGACGGAAATGACAAATTGATCTTTTGCCGCAAATATTGCATAAAGTAAAAGTGAAATGCCGCTAATTTTTTTTAATAGAGAGAATATTTATTGCAATATACTAAGGTATAGATATAGAGTAGCATAATTTTTATGTCCTAAATGTGAGGAATAAGATATAACGAAGAATTAAGACCTACTAAATACCAAAAAAAATTTACAAACATCAAAAAAATACAGAACCCTATCCCTTAAAAATGAATCAGTTTTTTTTGCAAACGGAAAATTTAAAAAAAAACCGTTTGAAAACTAGTAGCCTTTTATAAATCAAGGGAAAAACAACGAACACGGATTGTGTATAGAAGACGAATTTATAAATATATATATTTAGGCTCACCGAATATCAAACTGGTTTTTAAGATGTACAGTAAAGTCAAGTTTCTTGCACGCCGGTAGCACATATATATATAATGTAATAAAACTCCCGCCAAACAAGTATAGACACACGTGACTTTTAGGTATAGAAAAAAAAATTCTTTTGGAGGAAAAGAATTGTTTAGTTGCCTCCAGATTAACCTTTCAATTATCACATCGTGAAAACAAATTTCCGAGATCCGTAAAATTGATGAAGGTTGCAATGTTAAAAAAAAATTTATTTTTTTAAAATATATGTAAAAAAAAAAGAAATTATTTTGTCATCCATTTGGTATATGGATTTTAAAACTGATTCTTATTATGTTAGTTTGGACATAAAAATTGTTATTATTCTCCAAACAATAGAATCTTAATCACAGATCTTCATATACTTTTAGGTGCTAATTAATACGTTTGCCCTTTATATGCGGAACTAATTTATAAGCGGTAGACGTGATTAAAATCGCGTAATTCACCCTTCTCGCATATATATATATACAATATGTGATTACCCAATAGTCAACGAGATATAATCGACTTTTTAAAATCTACGCCTCGTCAATTCGACTAATCGTGCATGAAATTGGGGTGAAACGCGTAAACGATGCAAGAATAGCGTATACATATATATACACTAGTATTTGATGGAAAAGAAAATTGATACCCTTCAAAACATTATATTACTATTTTATATATCTAAATATCCGTTGCGAAACTATTGTTAACTCTTTAACAATTAAAATCACTACGCGGATATTTATTATAGTTTTCTTTTTTACAAAAAGGAATAATTTTTTAAATTTCTTTGTTTTAAATAAAATCCAATATTTTCATTGAATTATTAAATTTCAAAAATGAAAATATTTGAAATTTCAGAATTATGCTAATTCTTGCGCAATGCTCGAAAATAATATATGTATATATATATATATATATATATATATATATATATATATATATATATATATATATATATATATATATATATATATTTATTTGTATAGAACTTTATTGGTTGTTGAACAAGGAATAGAAAAGATAACTAAATATACTTTTATCATTATGAGAATTACTAAACTGGAGAACGAAAATTTATCGTAATTTAATTCGTGATTGTGATTTCATCATCGTGCATGACATCAGAAGTTAATATATGTATACTTCCCTTTATTTACGATCTTCTTCTTCTTCTTTTTTCTTCTTCTCTCTTTTTTAAGATTTTTCCAAAATTTCATCAGAATTTGAAGATCTCGGTAATTTATGTCTCGATGGTTTTATTTTATACCGCGCAGGTTATCGCTATTGATGAAAAATATTTGTTACTAGCCAAAAAGGATTCATTAATCATTGCTTGAAATATTTTTTGGAATTATTGGTTATAACATTCCTGTTGAAAAAAAATGCCTTTCAGTTTTCTTGTTTTCTAGGAATTAGTGTTTGTATGCTTACAAAATATACAGACAGACGGTCTAGTGGATTTTAAATATTCCTTTATTGTAGCTTGCTAATCAAAATTATCTGCTTTTTTAGCATCATCTGCTTTTTTAGCATTATCTGCTTTTTCAGCATCATCTACTTCTTCAAAATCATCTTCTTTGTTGTAATCTTTATCTTCCCAATCAACATCATCTGCTTTTTTAGCATCATCTGATTTTTCAAAATCATCTTCTGCTTTTTCAGCATCATCCATTTCTTCAAAATTATCAGCAGCTTCTTCGTTGTATTCCCTATCTTCTTCTTCTTCTTAATCACAATTTTCTTCACCATTATAATCAGCTTTTTCGTAACTTTCTTCATCACCTTCAGCACCTTCTTTATCGGCTCCAACATCTTCAGGTTGACAAACCAAGGAACCCAAGGAATCTGTGTTTACCTATAGAGAAACATTTAGAAGATTATTCTGCATCTAGAGATATGTGTGTGTGTATATGTATTTCTAATGTTCGTTCATAAGGAGGAGAGTATGCGGTACCATGCCGAGTTCCTATAATGGGTATGCAAGTGGTGAAGCAGGTTCCATTCATTCATGTACAGAGCACTAGTGGTCTACCATTTACAATTTCCCATTTACCATCTAGCATCCTCCTCGTGCACGTGCTGCCCGTCGTGCGCCAGTCTTTCTTATTCTCGCGTATATATATACATACATATATGAGAAGGGAGACCTTGTGTGCACCTATATGCATGCATATATATATATATATATATTTATACCGTTTAGCTTTGTCGTCTGCTTTAACCAGACGCTTTAACCATGTGAGTGACAACCTTATGCGAATTCATCTCCTCTCTTGTCATTCACGACGACCTCTCTTCTTCTTACTTTCACTCTCTTGATAATAATCGTCTCAGTCGACAATTTGGCATTGACCTTGGCTAAAAACAAGAATTAAGTAGAAAGTCAAAAGTCTTTGCGGTTATTGACTGATGGATTAAATATTTGCACAAAATTTTAACATTCTTTTTTATTTTTCAACAAGAAACAAAGAAACTCATCCCTCGAAATAACGAAATATTAATAAATTTTATAAATTCTATATTGAATATTCAAAAATGTTTTCTGAAACATTGTTTAATAAAACGATATTATCAAAAAGGTGATAATATTAAATAGTTGTGCAAAGTAATTAATTTTTTAAAAATAAAAAGCATCATTAGTTCTATTTTTTTTAAAGAATTTATTTAATATTTTATCTTTATTTGTTTTTTAAACTAAATACAAATATGTTTATTTTTTTCATTTTCTGTGACTAATTAACTGACGATAGGAAAATATAATTCTGAAACTGTTCCATAAGTCGCTAATGTTACCTAACGGAGATAACGACTTATTGCATAAGACAAAGCGAATTTAATATGGATGCCAATTTAACACTATCCCTATGCATCACACAATTGACTGTTAAAATAATTGAAAAACAGCATCTTTATTTCACATTGGAAATTTAAATTTTCATCCCATCACGTACCTCAAAATAATTATGAAACAGAGAAAAATTTCACTAGAATAGCGAAAGATTTAACTGAAACGCAAGTAAACCTTTTCCTACTATAGTGAAACATTTCGCTGTACTAGGTAATTTTTTTTAATTCCATACGAAATTAATAAAACAAAAACTTTTATTAATAACCTTTTTCCTTTTTTTGTTTCAGGTATGTACAACTTCATTTCCCTTATTTGCCCGACAACTCGAGGTAAATATTTGTCAAAGTAATTTTTCGTTATTGTTCTACTCTTCTTCTCTGTCTTCTCCTTCTTTTTTTTTTGTTCTTTTTAAAAGCCAAAGAACATTGACGGCATCCTAACAAGATTGTTGATTTTTCTCATCAAAAATTCCTCTATATGGAGGAAAAATCTGTTAGTGAATATAATACAAAAAAAAAAGGGGAGACTATGGAGAAAGAAGTAAAAAAGAAGTCACGATCGACTTGGAAGTTTTTTGCGCCGACAAACGATCTATTGAATAGCAGCGTTGATAGCGTATAGGTTATATACTGAAATGGAAGCTATATATATATATATATAGATAACTCTGTTCATAAATGAGCAATGTCACGCATCGAATCACCTCCGGGCGTGCGTAACCGTGCTTGACTATCCGTCCCTTTTTTCCCTAGTTTTTCTAGCTTTACTTCGTTGTTATAACCCCCTTCATTCCCTCAATCACCATCTTTAACAGATAAAGAAGAGTTCCCCCTTTCTCCCACGTATTCACGTAATGAGGCGGTTCATTGAATTATTTAATGCAGCTGGCGCACCATATAGCGACGAAAGGAAAAATCTCCAGGAAGGCAAGAAAGACGAGAGGATGAATCTTTCTCTCTCTCTCTGTCTCTCTTGACTACCTAGACTAATCCAATCCGACCGTTGATCGCTCGTAAATTAAATCGAGACACGTAAACCGATTAAGGTCTCTTCGTAGGCAAAAAGCAAAAAAAAAAAAAAAAAATTCAGAAAAAAATATCTTCAAACTAAAAGACTAACGAGTATTTTTTTGTGGTATGGGAATAATTAAAAAAAAATTTAATTTTAAATGAAATTGATGGGATTTTTTTTAGGTTATGTCTTTTCTGGTTTTCAAAAAACCACTTTTTTTTCTCCGTCTATAAGAAAGTTATTAGTTTTACGAAAATTCTACTATTGTCAATTATGTATTGAACAAAAATTAGAGGTTATGTCTTTTCTAGTTTTCAAAAAACCACTTTTTTCTCCCTCTGAAAGAAATTCGTTATTAGTGACGGAAATTCGGCTATGCAACGTGTTTTAAAAAAATTAGAGGTTATGTCTTTTCTAGTTTTCAAAGAAAAACTTTTTTTCTCACACTAAAAGAAATGGTTTGCCATTCTTTTGCCCACAATTGGTATTTTTAGCACAATTATTATGCTGTCACCATCTGTTGAAAGGGACCTGAAAAAAAATTATAGATTATATTATGATCTTAAAAACAAAAAAATAATAGGTTATGTTTACGATAGTTTTACCTTATATATAGCGTTTAAAATCCATTAATTTTCCATAATTTCTAAATACAGTTGATATTGTGACAATATACTTAAAAATAGACTAATTTATAGGAGTAAAAAAAAGAGGTCTTTAGCAAAACGAAAACAATACTGAACCTGACAAGGAATAAAAATTGGCGCACGCTTCTTGTTCACGTGTGTTGCATTCATTGTGCCTTATGATTTTCTATAAAGCTCCTCTTGATGATGCAGGGCCTGTCTCGTGTTACTCTTTCTTTCTTTCATTCTCTTTTTTTTCTTCTTTCTCCTCGCGAATGAGTGCACTACCCTTTTTGCAAATGACTTTTCACGCATTCTACATGCGCGCAATAATGCCTGCGAATATTCAACAGAAGACCCCCTGGGTTCTCCTGTGGAGATCAAAATGAAATGTCGACGCGCTGGACCGAGAAAGGGTTGATTATATAAAAAAAGGGATGCCTCTATATATATAGTTATTTCCAATGAAAAAGGGAGACACCTTATTTCAATATAAATCTATATATATACCTATAGCAATAATAATAATAATAATAGGAAAAAAAATTGATCGTAAAAATAATTTTTTAACCGACAAATTTTTGAGGTTATGTTTCTAAAAGCAGTAATAATATTTATAATTAGAAAAATTTGAATTCTGTTCAATATTTGAGGTTATGTTTCAATAATAATATTTAAAATTAGAAAAATTTAAATTCGGTTCAACATTTGAGGTTATGTTGTTTTTTTCTAGTATGAAAATAATTTAAATTTGTTTACCATTCCATTGTTCTTTGTATAGATATGAAAGTTCGTGCAATTTAATATGTTCATATAAAAGAAGGGGAGGTGAAAAAAACGGTAGTATCTTGGCAGTGAATATATATATATATGAAATATTCACCGCCACCTTGCCGAAGTAACTCTATATTATTATCCTTTTTCACACCTCCTTGCACTTCTATACCTGGCGAAAACCTTGCTACAATAAACAAAACACCATTGTTTCTCATTGTGAACCACGCCACACAGGATATGTCTTTTAATGTTTTTCTACATACTTATAAAGCATAGAAAAAAAATTATTAAAAAAAAAATATTTAAAAATTAGTTTAAATAAGCTGAACAAACTGAAAATATAATTCTAACGAATATTTTCAATTTTAATAGATAATAAAATTTAGGTTATGTTATCAAATATATATACATATATATGTAAAATGTTATAATTTACTATATATTTATTTCACAAACATAACCTCAAAATAAGCGTGAAATTATAAAAATATTATTTTTTCAACTAAAAGGCAATAAAAAAATTGTCAAGTTTGTGTCTATTTGTAAAAAAAATTCATGTCTTTTCTAGTTTTCAATAAAACCCTTGCTTCTTGCAGTGGAACAAATTTTTTGTTCCATTTTGATAATTGTATTTTAAGATTTTCAAAAAAACACTTCTTTTCGCACTAAAAAAAAATTTGTTCTTACTAAAATAAATTCTTTTACAATTAAGTCACATTGACAACAATTACGAATTTTCACTAGGAGCAGGGTGCGGTAGTTGATGAGAATTTAACAGAGAGAGAGATGAGTCAAAATCTGTGTAATGTTGCGTCCACACGTTTTTTTTTTTTGCTTTTTAATTATAACCATCGTAACCAATGAGAGTGAGAGAAAGAGACAATTTTTCTTATTCTCCTTTAGTGCAACACTCATGTATAACAGTTGTGAGAGAATGAGGCGACGAATAATTAGACATACCATCGTGCCTAATTAGCAAATTGGTTGGATGTTTGATTCCGAGCGTAGGCAGTGTCTTGCCACCCGTTTCTCGACCCTCCGAAGGGAGATCGAATATCAGTCTTGTACTTTGCAAAGTCTAATTATCCTCAAGGTATATATATATATATATACGCGAGTCCTCGCGTGAAACCGAATAATAATTAACGTGCCAAAGTCAGAAAAATGTCGACTCGTCAATTTCACGATGGTCGCCGACGACAGCAATTAGTATACTGAATCGAGATATTCATTATTCATCTCACGAGGACGATGATCATCTTAAATAAAACATGACAGATTCATGACTCGGATTAGGTACATAAACATACCCACCTCTTTGCAATATATATATAATTCAGAATCTCTGGACAAATGGGAAATATAAATCAAAAACTCTCACACACACGCTCAAAAATAAATCTGAAAGCAAAAATTGAAACTAAATGGTTTTATTGCTTATGAAAAAAAATGAAGCGTTTTAGTTGCGAATAATAAATGTAGATGTCACTAGTGATAAAGTATAAATCTTGATACATATTAGACATTCCCAACCCTCGTAATATTACTTATATTCTGTTAATATATGAAATATCAAACATAACCTAACTTTTTTTTAGTGATATAGGGGGAAAGGTATCAATATTGTCTTATCGTCATTCGTATATTATACAGATGCAATTCCAGGTTAGAAGGGTTCTATATATATATATAGTTATCTGAACATATTTTCATTGTGAGTGAGTCGATATCTAAAGATACAAAATGCGTCCGTCACGACGACAGAGCGATAGGATAACGATGCTACCAACTTCCTACATGGCTTCAAAATTACCGACAGAAAACAATTAACATTAACTATGTACACATATATATGTATTTTGTATGCTTTGGGAAAAATGATAAGACACTGCACTCCCTCTAAATGACCTAATGTACTTAGCTGCAATGATGTCTATACCCTTATCGCTATAGGCTTGAATTTTTTTTTTCCTTCACTTGTCGACTTTAACAAGTTCTCCACCACGCAGAGACGAAAAGAATTATATGCAGGAAGTTAATACGCTCTCTCGCATTTATAACTCGCTCGGACATTTATGTTAATTAAGTTTAGTTTTGCTGATAATTAGGACCCGCATTTACCGGAATTTCTCAGATATCGATCATTGATAACAAAATTTTTTTTTTTATTTTTCACAATCTAACTCTTGAAAAATTTATATATATATATAATTTTCAACTTTAATATAAATGTCTTAAATAACAAGATATATATAAGTGATTAGAGGAAAACGAGTTTCAAGAAGATGCGACGATTCTTAAATACAGGAATCACTTTAGAAAACATAAGAATCAAATAATAACTTTTGAGATAAATCTTCTAAATTATAATTTTTGGCGTTTTTTTTCTTTTTAAATAAAAAAGTATTATATAGAGGAAAAAAAACATGCGGATGCATCGCGATAAGAAAATAACGACAATCATTGATAATAATCTGGTAATAAATTTTTCTCGCTAATAGTCTCCATATAACTTCTGATCATATATATATATGCAACTTAAAATAATTGAGATAAATAAAATTTGCAAATATAAAAAAATACTAAAACACAGACACAAAAAAAATTGACGTAAAAGCACAAAGTCTTAACTCTTTCTTTGACTTTCTGGCATGGGCATATTCATGTAGCAAAAAAAATAATAATAACTCGATCAAAATATCCGCAATTTAGATGCAAATCAGCAATTTACATTCGATTAAGATGCAATGTGGGTACGATCGCTTAACGTGGGTGCCATCAATTTTCCTCTCTTATAGGGAACACTTTTTTTTCACCTTTATCCTTCAATCATGTATATAGGCCTTGAAAAAAAATCGCGTCAAAATCATCAGAAAATTTATATATAGAGAGGAATATTGTTCATCCCACGATTA